TTCTGCTTTTCAATTCTGGTTTTGCATCTTTGGAAGGCTTCACTCTAGCGTGATGAGCTGGACACTTGTTCGAAGTGTGCGCCGAGATAGTTTGCTTGATCTTTCGAGCTGTTACTTTGTGTGTTTACGAGAAGAAGTGAATGTACTTGTCTTCCTCGTTTTCCTCCTTGCCATATTCCAGACTTTGGCCTCCTGTATATATGAACTGTTGCCTGATATAAAGTTGTACTAGCGTTTCCTTCTGGCCAGTTGACACGTCCTGCTGTCTTGAGACTTTATATTTAAAAATTTGTAAGATTCTCCGCTGTCGGAGAGTTTCGAAGCAGCTTTCATGCTTTATTTTGCATTCTACGTGCATTACGACGCTCACTGTTCTAACAACGGACGTTTAGCCTGGTGGACTATTCAGTTTGTGCGATATACCTAGTAGCCGCATCAATACGAAGTGTTGTGAGAAAAGTCTACAGCTGCATCTATATTTAATTGACACATGTCCAACCAACTTAAGTGTGTAGCTTTTCAGAAATATTCCCAGTCCGCGTTGTCTCTCTGCCATCTGGAACAATGTGGAGGACCTTTGTCTATTGATGAACTGAGAATAATCAAAACTTGGTCACTTCCAAATGAATAGTTTACCACTTCCCATTAAATCAGGGTTACAAGCGCTGGGGAAACAATGCTAGGATCAAATGCATGAGTAGATTTTGTTGGTGAGGCTAAAGTATGTTGGTTCTTACCTGTTCAACAGACACGCACGCGTAGAAAAGAGGAAGTGTTCGATTAGGGGACCTAAAGCGTCACAGCGGGAGTCGCCCTATAGACCAATGTGCAAATTGAAGTTACCAAGGTCAACATAAGGTTCCGGTAGTTCATCTATCGCTGACTAGAGTTTGTGTTTTCTGAGGCGGTACTGCGGAGGTATGTAAAGAGAGCAGATGGTGACAATTTGCTCAGAAGAACTGCTCGAACATCCACTGCCTCAATGGATGTTATTAGTGGTAGATGTGTGCATGCTATGCCCTGATGAACTATAATGGCCGAACCACCAGACGACGCTTCAGCGTCATTGCGGTTCTTTCTGAATATTACACATTGACGAAGAAAATTAGTGTTCATGAAATCTAGGTGCATCTCTTGTACACACAACGTTTCTGGGGAATGTTTGTGTAAGAGTATATAGATATTGTCGAGGTTTTCAAACAGTCTTCCGGCGTTTCATCATATTGTTTGTGAATCTGTTATGAGTGTAAATAACTGCTGTGAGTACAAAGAAGCATTGCGTTAAGTTAGGAGCCTTTCTCAGGCCCATGATGATGGTTTTTGGCTTTCAGGCGCACTCCGAAAATCTCCGCCTATTCTTCGTCAACGAAGACACCGTTGGACTAGCTGTTGTGCCTAACACGTCAGACGACGTACTGGATGCCCGCTCATGGTTCACGCGTGTGGGCATAGAAGTTGTAGGGCTATCAGTCGAGACAAAAGGCCTTGGAACTTGAGGTCCGGAAGCCTCGAAGGAATTTTGGTGGCGGAAGAACCTGTGCTATTTCTGCTGTGGGGGTGAATGGCACTGTCGCCCAATCACTTTGTGTGGTACGCGCAGATTTCGGTGGCACTTCCCCCTTTCTCGCCAACTCCACGAACTAAGTACGCTGCAAAGATAGACGCTTGCTTGCCACCCTCAATAAGATGTTTTCATTTACTTTGAGTATAAATGTTTTTTTTTTCGTCTTGCCATGCAGGATTTGTGTGAAGGTAAGCGGGGTGTCCTCGGTTGCAGTTTGCGCAGGGAGAGTTCCTGCCTTACAGTTGTCCGTAGCGTGTTCGTGCGAAATAGTCTTTGCACAGGTTCGACGGCGGCGGCAGCTCTGCTAGCCGTGGCCGCAATACTAGCACTTAAAACAACATCGGGGTTTTTTATGTAGAGTTACACCTTCAACTTAAAGTAGCCTGTTTCGATGTATTCTGGAAGTGTTCTTAAGCATAATGTTAGGATGAGGTGCTTTGTCAGCGTTTTTTTGTTGTCACGGCTGATCCTAATTGTCTGAACACGCGCTACTTGCTGTTCGTTCCAGCCATCAAGGAGCTCATTCTCTGTCAGGTTGATTAGGACTTGATCAGGCACTACGCCTAAGAAAATAATTAGGGATCGGTGCGGTGTCACAGATACAGGTGTGTTTCCGAAAGAGGGGTTTCGTGGGATTTTCATATTGGGCCTTGCTTTGTACTTCAAGAAGAAGGTCCCCACTAGCCATGCGTGTAGCCTGATAACCTGTATCAATGGTATAGGTGATGCATTTTGATTCGAAAAATGGAGAGGTTGTGCTCAATGGCATTCTTTTGTGTTTCACAGTGAAGCATATGTAAGCGCAAGAATATATGTTTGGCTTTTAAAAAGACATTCAGCGTTCTTTCGGTGCGCCCCCTCATAGAGGGAGGGTGATCAGACTGTTTGGAGAAAAGAAAACAGGCCAAAAGTATATATTAATTCAGCAGCTATGCCAGCCGCCCATCACGGGGCCCAACATGGGTCCGCAGCAGCACAATTAAAAAAAAGGCATGCCAGCGCCAGCTGCGCAAAGCATCTATAACCCAACAATATGGAACCAAGAGAGGGCAGATTTTTAAGGTGGATCCTTGCTGCCTGGAGGATGAGCTAAACAGAAGTAAGGAGATGACAGGAAAGATTGAAAGAGAGAAACGTTGAACATGAAGAAAGAGAGAGATAGGAAAAGGTGAATGCCGGTTTCCTTTTGGTGGGTCAGCACAGGGGTGCCGTTTACGTGAAGCCGGGGCCTAAGTGGTGTGTTGGCTCTGCCAGTGGGACCTCAAATGTTCAATCATCCGGTGTCGACTCAACCCCCAGGATCCCCTTTTCCCAGGACACGGCAAAGCCACGCACGGCTAGGCGTGGCAGAGGTCAAAACCCCCTTTTAACACGCGTCCATGGTGTCGCTACACACAAAACGCCTGCTTGCGCATACACCCCTGTAGGGTAGTTGTAGGTGTCGATATAACTGCAGTAGGTATACTGGCACGCCCGCTGTATTCTGTCTTATCGCCTTTGCGCGAGAACACTTCGTAGTACTCAATATTGTACGCAAAATAAATATATCAGACAAGTCATCACAAAACTTCTGCATATTTTCACCAGTCGCAAAAGTTAGAAAGAGCTATCAAAAAATATGCACTAACAGCTGGCAATATGTGGTTGCTCCTACAGTCTATTTGATAATTTGTTCTGAAATAAAGTGTGAATTCTTCAACAAACTTCATGTTTTTGCCAGTATGCGCATGTCGGTTGCCGGCAGCCAGTCATTAGTATCGAATAAAGACGCAGTTTCTATTTGGAAAGGAATATTGCGGCTTTGTTAACTGTCCGACTTGTAAACATGAAGTTGAGCATTAAGTCTATTGAATAAATAGTGATTTTACTACGAGTTGAACGCGTTCTGGTTTGGTGTGGTTATCAGGAGTTAGCGAGGTTTGAAACCGTGAGGTAGCGAGTTTGGATCCTCTAGGTGGTTGTCTTATTGTTTTTTTTCATTCATTGCGTCAGTGCGCCCTAAATCACACCTTTAATAATAAATTGTTTATGGCGACTACGCACCCAGTTCTAGCGCTGTAAAAGTGTTTTGCGCTGTGTACTCAGCACCTCCCTGTGATATGCCGCTCCAACGTTGGAGTATCCAGCGCGATATTACACCCATAGCCTGGCGTGGCACTGGATGCTGGTAAATAAGTGCGCTAGGTTTTGCAATAGAAATATGATAGAAAAAAATGAAGGCATTATTGATTTGCTTTGATTTGTGCAGACTTGATTTATGTGTAAGAGGGCGAGACATTAGCTGAAGAAGCTGCCAACAATTCAAGCTGTTCACAAAGCATGTGTGCCTAAATTTTGGACACATGCAAAGGAAAGCACATCAATCAATGTGCCTTTCTTGCGCGCTGAGATATTGGGGTCCTTTTTTTACGCTTAAAGTAGCGTTTCATGTCTAACGTTTGCTGCATTTGTTGCAGTAGCAATTGCCTCATAACGGCCCGTACAATGTGCAATAGTATGGTTCATCACAGTTTCATTCATTTTTTAGGGCTTGAGTGGGATGGTGAATGAGAAGGCGGATTACACTGGCCAGTACGCCTAATGCAATGGCAACAGACCAGCACCAGTAGGCCGTTACCGACAGACAGGCACCAAGCAGCTGCTGTCAGCAGACCAGTACCAGCAGGCCGCCATTAGCTGGCAACAACCAACAGAACAACACTAGCATGTATTATGTATTCCCTCAGAGGAACAGACTGTGGGTATTTTTATATAAGGGTGGAACTTCAGTGCTTTCTTTTCCCTATTTCTATTATTCAGCTCGCCCAGAAAGCTGAGTTGCTGCAAATAGATTTGGTGACACCCGTCAGCCACTAGCAGTGTTCCTGCTGAACACTGCTAGTAAAACCACTAGCAGTGTTCTGATATTTCACTCGCTTCGCTTTTAAATTGACAGAGGTTGTTCTCGTGATGCCGCAGCCTTTCAGGCGAATTATTTCTTACCCTAATGTAAGAAGAGGGACAGTCGGCTCACGTTATTTCGTTCACGACTAGAGCATTTCCTAAGGGTGCGTGATTTTTGGGCCGAGATATGAGGGTGCCGATGATAGGTATTTGCATGTGGGTGAGGCCAAACCCTGCATTTCCTGGTATGGGCCCTATCGCTTCGAAGATGCCAGCGATGTAGTGAATCGACACGTGGTTTTGTTGTGGCCAACTTCAAGAAAAATATGTCCTGGTTGAAGTTTTCTTATTACTTCAAATTCAACACAAGATTCACACTCACAGCGTGTATTTAAGATATTTAGGGTGGGTACGGCGGGTGCTTAGACGTACAAACATCTGATAAATAAAAATTGCACGCTGTGTTCCGTGTACAGAAAAGTTTATTTCTAAGTATTCCTGATAGGTGGCGGCAGTGACTAGAAAATGCCTAGCACAAGAAACCTAGGTTACAGATATCGTCGAGCGCACTGCATGAAACATGGAGACATGAGATGGCAATACCACAGTTTGACGTTGAAGGCACGATACTCCCAAGTTATTCTTCCATTTCTGGAAAGCAATCACTTGTGAATACGTCCCGTACCGGTAGACCAGCAGCGTACTCATTGAACTTCTCCAGACAACTGGTTGGAACATTGTCAGAATCTTTTGCCGATAGTTCGTACCCTGGAATAGAATGCAAGCTTTAAGTGTCACGGAATACGACAAACATATTCTTTAAGCTGAAAACTAATGTATTCAAGACAACGCACAATGATGCATGGTTATGAAACAATAGAAAAAAAGTATCCTTCACTGTTGCGTTTTGATTTTAACTTACCAGTTATTCATAGTTTTATAGCATACACAGTGATATAAACTCAAACATATATAGCGATTCATCTTCTTAGGATATAATGTGCAATTTGTGAAGCAAAAAACTATTATTTCTTAGTGTTCGAAGAGCTGATATGCAAATTGACACTTCCAATATCCCAAAACACGCCTTACAAAAACCAAGTATGCGCAAGACGCAATGTGTCCAATCTGTTCTCGCTGCATTGTACAATCATTTCGATTCATGTCTGTACCTTTGGCTGGTAGCACTAAATCCAAAGGCTATGTTTCCAGCTTATTCTTTTTAATCATACTGATGCTCTGTTAGTCACCCATTTTTGAAGTCACCCATATTTTCATAAGTGTAATAAATCACCAAGTATAAGATGCAGGCACGATAACCGTTTAGCGTAAATATATAGCGTGTATAGCGTTAGGCGTGTTACCTATACGAAATTTCTGGTGTTAACTGTTTAGGGAAGAAATTATCAGTAACAACGTTTCTACGCGCGCATAAATGTGGCCAAATTTAACAATAATCAGAGGGTGGAATGTATTGATTTTTGTCTAAAAAATATGTTCATCAAAGTTCGCCGAAAAATTTTAGTATTTTGATGCCCCTGTTGTGACAACCAGTCTGCAGACTGCAGTTTCGGTGGATAAGGCTAAGAGATTTATTCGGCAAAGGAAGCTTTTTTTATATACATGGCTAGCGTTTTTACAGCGATGTCTGAAATAGCGCCCAGAAAGAGAAGGAAGAACAAAATTTAGTTTGTATTTGCTCGCAGAGCTTATCTTACGTTTTTCAATAAAGGCCAACAATTTTAGCTGTAGAAACATTTGTGTGATTGTCATCCTTGATACGAGTCTATGGATATATATTAGACAAAGCTTCATATCACACTAAAAGAGTTCCTTCAACCATTTCAAGTGCACCTTTTTTCAATGCACTGTAAAACACTTGCACAAAATTTTGAATAAGAATATCATTCATCTGTGTTTGTCGAAAATAAGAAATTCGTGTACAGTTCTCTATATTAGGCAAAGAGAAAAACAGATAGAAGGCAGCTCATCCAGTTATCTAGTAACTTAAGTTTTCATACACTCGAAGTGAATACTTCAGGAAAAGTGCGCGTTACCTTCGCGAGAGCGCTGTGTTACAATTTCTGGTCGGAATGGAAGTCACTGAAATTACGTACCTCCCTCAGTTCCGTCTGCGCCAAGAGCGTAGAGAACATAGCAATTGTCGTCAGAGAATGCAAGGACGTCTGTGAAAACTTGTCCATCTACAAGCGGATATAAAAATAATGCATTGTGCTTAACTGTAACTGGCATGTGAAAGTGTTTCGGAATAGATTTATTAAATTGTTGTGAAAGTTTATTATCACACTTAGTCATTTCATAGGATTACATTGGTTCCAACCTTCAACCTTGAAACTACACTTCTAGTTTTTTAGCAGTTGAGCCGAAGAGATGGTTGATTACTGTTTTATTTGACTATGTCTCTGTTTTGTTAAACCCTTGAAGTGCCGACGAACGTCACTCTAAATCATTACGGCGAGTGTGAGGCGCTGTTATTGTTGCCTGCGGCGGATAAGTAGCACGACATAAGATAATGAGCCGAAAACTAATCAATGAGATATACAATAAGGCTTGAAGAATCCAATTCGAGAAAATGTGACCCTTGCTATTAATTTGTGTAAATCTTCATCGCTTGAAAAGATACGGAAGTGATTTCCATACTCGGTGACTTAGTGTGCAGTTCATGTAATCTTGTATGATTGTCAAACATAACAATGTGATTTTAAGAGAGAAAAAAATACAACGCCCTTCAGCTTGCCCCAGGGAACTAATTCAAAGCCTAACAATTCTCTTAATTATATTACGCGTTCATAAGCACATGACACGCTAGTTGCGTCAAGTGTGAGACAACGTAAAAACTGTGCTACGCTTTTTGAGAGTCAACAGAAGGTGAAAACCAATACAGACTGCTGCGATACGGAACAAGTAGGACTTTAGATACCAGTTTGTTTGTTGAAGAAATATTCATTTCTGACTTAGTGCACTAGCAGGGCATTTTTTTACCTTTGGTGGTGTTCCTGAGGGCAAAAATCAGACGAATCTCAGTATTGTGGCAGCAAATGTAAGAGTAAGTGTTTGTGCTACTGTAATAAAACAGCACGTAAAATATTTTGGCATGAAATATAGCTTTCAGTACTTGTACATGGGTGCATTTATAGCTGTTTCTGCTGTGAGTATCAACAAATAGTGCTTCTGGCAACGCTTGTGAAATCTTCTTATGGTTGAGTGATGCACCTCAGTGAGTCTACCAAGCCATTCACTAAACATTTATTTCACTTGACAAAGTTCACTGGTCACCTCTTTTTAAGATATCAAGAAAACAGAGCAAGTACACGTTAATTCAGAGGAAATATCATCATTCTTACAGCTAGCGCTGGCATGATATTTCCACCACACAAAACTCACGCCTGAGATCTTCTAGCTTTATGTAGTCAACGGTAAGTAGCGTTTATCATTTTGGTTTTACGCTTTGTGCATCCGAAATAATGTGCATTGGTACCGAAGGCATGACAGCGAAACTTACCTTCCGTAACGTAGGTGATGGCGTTTTCTTTATTGTAGCCGTACATTTTAGCAGCAGGGTGCCTTTTCTTGAGAACCTTGGCTGAAAGTTTTTTTAGAAGAGGATTGGAGGTGTATCTGCAGGCTCAGTTTCATGCAACAATTATTTACAGACACAATATCAAGAAATGTTTTTCTACAAAGATATGGTTTATTCAATAATATCAAGAAAGCAAGCCAGTTTATTATGGGATAGTTTTGCTCATGAAAACGAGAAATAAAATTAGCTCTGCGTTGTCACAGGAACGTGTATATTGCCAGAATTGCCCACTTTTGTTTAGTGTTGAACGCGCTGTGTATATAACAGTGTAGTAGGATGGCGAGGTATTTAACTGTGTAGCTTCATTGCTTTTCTAAAAATCACGATCGCGGGGTATCCCGATCTCCGAATACTGTCATTATAGAATTCTGGTGCCGTTTTATGGAAGGCGGCTCTTCAATCACCATAGTGCCAGGATAATACCCAGAGCCGTCGCATAGAAATTGTTCAAGACAAGTTTTTGAGGAAACAATATGTGCGTTCTAAGAATTGAGACAAAGCTTAAATTGCACCAACCACTCAGGCTTGCTTTTAAAAGTTTTGTCCGCATAACTCATCTTTTCGGTGCTATAACTATAGACGGGAGGGTCTTTTTTATGGTAAAAGGGTTTGCATTACTCAGTTAGGACACTTTTACCTTACGATATGACAGTTTGTGCTCGCATCTTAGTTGAGAATGTACGAAACGCAAGATTCACTACAAGGTTAGCTTGTTCGAGGTTTCTACCACAGGCCGAGAAGCTTATGGTCTGAAAAATTACTATATACGTTTAGGTGATGCACACTCAGCGAACCGTAGAAGTAAAAAAATCTGTCAACTGTGATGAAGTGTCGAGGCTCTTTGTGTTGTAGCTTTTCACAAACCAAAGCAATTCCAGAGGTATTATCTTATTCCGCTCTGTAACTAACTTTTCACAACATTTATTAGGCGTCACAATTCCTAATTTTCCGCAGAGCCCCGAGATATATCTATAGTTTGCGTAATTTTTGCAGAACAGCCCTAGAGAACACTCAGGCACTAAAAGTTTGAATCGTAATGTATTGATTTTCTTCTACACACCTTTTTTTGTCCAGTTTTATTTCACTATAATTAACAGAAGCGGTATTATTGTATTCGCCTTTATACTAAGCAATGCCACAGCGCTTTTAAATAGTTTGCTCAAGTTATGCTTTAAGCCTGCTAACACCTCTGTGAAGAGATTAGGAAACACTGTGGTGCAGATTCCAGCTGGCTCTTGCAAATACACTTTGATACACGAGAATCAGTTGAAAAACAAGAGCCTACTAGAAGTGCATATGACATATACTACTGCATGTGTGCTCTTCCTGTGCATTATTGCAGCACTAAAGCCAGTCACAATGATTCACCATTCACCTAGACAGCCGACTCTGTTCTGAGAAGAAGCTTTTGACTGTTTGAGAACCTGTAGGCGAAGCCTAACGCCGAATAAAATACCTTTGTATGTCACACCTTCTGTAAATACGCTTTCAATCTCACAGCACCATTGTTCAATAAATATATTATTTTCGACATTAAGAGTATACTTTCGATTCTCGAGTATATATATACTTTCGAAATGATTCTCACTGCAAATGTGTTGAATATAAATTCAACAGCTATACTACTTGGTACAATGTAGTATTTTTGCTATAATTTAGGAGGTATTGCTGAGAACTGTCAAAAAAGGACCATATCTTCAATGAAAACGTACAAGAATCAAAGTATGTACTATCCGATTAAAAAAATGTCAACACCGGGACGGGTGGCACTCCACAAAGTAAGGGCCGCCTATTTAAAATTGGCTAGTCTCAAGGCTCGCATGTAACTTCAATATGCTTTGGTTTTTTTCTAGGATTATCTATGCTTTCATTCTTAGTTGTCATCGAACTAGAATCTCGGTTTAATTGGCTGTTGGCATGACTGGCATGTGGTAAGCGATGCTGCGTATATATGTGGTTTCCTGTTCCCAAAGTAACCATTTCGTGAGTTATATTCAGTGCTTAACACACCTTTCTCTATACGAAGTACATTGGGCCTAACAGCAATACTTGCCCTCACTTTTGTATGTGATGGCGTTTTATTTATTGAAAAGTGTGGAATTGGACTATTTGGTAATCTATTAAGAAACTTCTCAGCACAAAAAAAATTCAGGCAATGAACACGAAAGACACCGACGAGTTCGTCGTGTCTTGCGTTCATTGTTTGAATTTTTGCGCGTAAAAGTTTAATCATTCTTTATTGTGGGGAGGCGTGTCATATAGTCAGCCGGAAGGAAATTCTAGCGCTACGAAGATGCCGGAAGTGAACAAAGATTGGCCTTTTGCAATGCTAAATTCATAATTCAGTTAAACTTGCAGCCCCTACAATATCGAACGTCGTGAGGCTACACAGACCAAAAGCCACACTTGCTGCTCGCAATTTATTTTATACGGTCAGTATCAGGGGTGCACCGACTCTTTTGGCAAGTGGGGGCAAGCCTACGTGAACAATCGTCAGCCGCAATATATATATATATATATATTATATATATATATATATATATATATATATATATATATATATATATATATATATATATTGTCACGTGATCACAGAACGACCACAACGTCTGTTCACAGGAGCAGAACTGGACGTCGAGCCGAACCGAACGTTAGAGCACGAGCACACACCAACCGTCCTCTTCTTCTTTCACACCATGGCACATACTCGCATTGGCATGGCTAAACCTCGTTCCATGCCTGTGGCATTACCCCCCCTTCGAAAAAAAAGTACCACCCCGATGACCAATGCCGATTAAAAGTTAAGGTAGTCGCGTACACGCACAAAGACGCGTGATGAAGCAGTGTCAGGTGGCTCGGGGGTAGTGTGGCTGCATCCGTGACACATGAACAATGTCGGCCTGCTGGGAACATCGAGATCGCTGAGCTGTGTCTTCAAGCAGAATTTCGTAGTTGACATCTGTGAGGCGCCGTAGTACTCTGTAAGGACCGAAGTAGCGGTGAAGTAACTTTTCCGAGTGGCCCTTTTTGCGAACGGGGATCCACAGCCAGACCAGATCACCGGGTTGGTAAATGGCATGGCGATGACGGGAGTTGTACCTCTGCGAGTCGATTCGTTGTTGTTTTCGGATCCGCTTGAGTGCAAGCTGGCGGGCCGCGTCGGCGAGCCGGATAAAGTCGTTCGCATCAGTAGTAATATCGGTCGTGTCAGGCAACAGCATGGCATCAAGCATCGTAATTGCTTCTCGGCCGTGAAGCAACCGGAATGGAGTGAAACCCGTAGTCTCTTGAACCGCAGTGTTGTAAGCGAACGTTACGTATGGCAAAATTGTATCCCAGTTCTTGTGATTACGGTCGACGTACATAGATAGCATGTCAGCGAGCGTCTTGTTTAACCTCTCCGTCAGACCATTGGTTTGTGAATGGTATGCGGTTGTTTTGCGATGAGCTGTTCCACTAAGTCTCGTGACATCTTGCAACAATTGGGCTGTAAAGGCTGTTCCACGGTCAGTGATAAGAACTGTTGGCGCTCCATGGCGGAGGACGATGTTGTTGATGAAAAAATACGCAACCTCATTGACGGTGCCTCGTTGTAGGGCTTTCGTTTCGCAGTACCTCGTTAAATAGTCAGTAGCGACTATGATCCAGCTGTTGCCATCATGTTACTTCGGGAAGGGCCCAAGCAAGTCCATGCCGATTCGTTCAAACGGTTGTGACGGGGGTGCAACAGGCTGTAATAAACCAGCAGGGCGCTGTTGCGAAAGACGGGCCTATCCCGCCGAAGCCACCACTGTTTCGAAAGATGGCGACACCAACACGGTCCCGAAGGCGCCACTGCTTTCAACTCCACCGGGAAGGTCACCAGCCGTTTGGTAGCGTATGTTTCTCAGCTCGCGACTGCTTCTGCGCAGAGCTGATGAGACGAGCGGACGAGACGACGGTGAGTTAAACAAGGTTTATGTACAGCATATATACAGAGGCGTTACAACTTCGGCACTGGGGCCGACAGAGACTCGAAGAGCCGAGCTCTCCTCTCTAATACATAGGTCAACTTTTCGCCTAAGACCGCCGACTCACACACATGTCGGCTCTCCGACATGGGGACTCCTCTCTCATAGGACCGCCGATCGCGACACGCCGCAGGGCTTTTTTTATATGCACCGGGTCCAACCAAAATGTCCAATCAGAAGCGCCGCTGGTCGTCAGGGCAGATTCCTCCAATGGGGTCGCCACTGGGCCACGTTACCCCCAGACACGAGGACGCCGGCTCGCTGTCACGTGCGCTGCTGACTCACTGCACGTGGGCCAGAGAGGCGCCGCGTGTGTTTACGCCATTGAGTTGTTCGTGTCAGGCGGACTGCGGGCTGGCCTTGACCCAGATTGCCTTTTTCAGAGGCACGGACGTTTGACGAGGACTCGCTGGCATAACAGCACCCCCGCCGCCAGACAATGCACCGGAAAGACGAGCTGCTTCCACGGGGCTCGGATGTCAGGTGCGCTCGTTCGCCAGGTCCCTCCAGGTTCGCCTCCAGGGCCGGAAACACATCCCATTTTTGACGACGGATCCCAGCTCCACTGGCTTGTCGCCACAACTTGTCGACCAGCTTCACTCGTCTCTTCTGACCACCTTCAGTTTCAGCACTTGTCGATGGTTCTGCAACTTGCTAAGAACGGTTCGACAACAAACAACACACGACACAAGCAAGTGCCCTCGGTCACCCGACAGAACACCAGACAAAGTATAGTACAACATATACCTATCTACGTGTCTATCGGAATTTTGTTCCCTCTACATCAAGAGGCACATGTGGGACACAAGACTCCTAAAGTAAGAACTTGAATTTTTCACAATTACAACAACGCAACGAATTAGAATACCACATAAAGTTGGCCCCTTGAGATCACTCTGAACGAGAGCGCTCAGCCCAGGTCGTGATGAGGTCAAAATTTTGCCCCGAAT